CAAGAAATGAGTGCTCACGACCATCACGTTCAGCATGGCACAGTCACTCAAGCTTTTGATGTTTTGGGTTCACAGAGGTGGGAGGGGCCAGATGGCAGTCTAAATCATGGCGCTCTCCTTTTACCACAGGTTATAGGGGTGGCATCAAGAATCTCAAGAAGGAAAATCAGAAGGGTGAATGTAGGTTTTTCCATGACTCTTCCTCACTTCATGTTTTGGAAGGGAATGCTGACTGCTGGAGGAAGAAATGAGTTGTACAAAGGGAAGCATGGATGTGCTCTGGAGGATTCTGTGTCTGAGAGAGACTTTAGAGCTGTTTTTAGGTGTGAAAACAAAAGCCAGAGAGCGTTCCTGACCAGCAAGCTGGTTGGTGGCAGCTGGTCCCCCAGGTCCTCTCCTCTCTCCTCACATCCGGTTTAGATGCTACATGCCTTTTAAGGATGGGTGTGAGTGCAGGTTTTGGAAGTAGGCATGATTAGTTCCCAGTTCCTCTTAATCATAATTTTTTCCCAGTTTTGTTTTTTTTTTTTACTGTGTTAAAACACACATAAAATAAAATTGACTATCTTAACCATTTTGAAGAGTGGTATTAAGTACATTCATAATGTCGAACAACCATCACCACTGTCTGTCTCTATAACTGTCTTCATCTGACAAAACCTTAAACAGTAACTCCCCATTCCTTCCTCCCCCAGCCCATGACAACCATCATTCTACTTTCTTTCTCTAAATCATAATTTTTTAAGTCAGGGGAAGTGGTCACTAAAACCTCCCCACCCAGCCCCGCAAAAAAAATACTGAAGTGAAATGAATTCTTTTTTTTTCCCCCAAGTTTTAGTCTGTAGGTTTTTTCTAGGGATTGTAATGAATACTCAATCTTAATTTCTTTTCAGTGTTTTTCTTTTCACCTTGTCTAACGCCACACTTGAAGGACAGTTTTTTAAAATTCTGCATTCAAAGCAGATCCTTTCTTAAAATGATTGGATGTAGTGTGAGCCTTTCTCTATAATAGCTGAGTTTTCCCATTTTGGAATACTCTGGGGCTGTGGGGACTCACTTTTCTCCGAGTTATTTCTAAAGCACTACCTTTGGCTCGGCCTTGTGTGTGAACATTCCTTGACTCTCCTCTGTTCATCTTTTCTCTTTGCAGAGCCCGAATTTCCATCACCCCATTTGTTCTGCACTTGATCAGGTCTTTGACTCATGGTGGAATTAGTCCCTTGGCCCAGATAGCTGCTTAAGAGTAAGGGAGGAACCAGCTGTTTCTTCAAAACAAAACATGAGCTTATATGTATGCATATTTTCCCCAGTTCCATACTTGCTTCTCCCCATAGTATTCATGAGTTTGGCAGGCATTTGCTGCCTGCCTGTCTGGTGCCAGGCCCTGTGATGGCTTTTGAAAATTCATGTTGAGTAATTCACAGTCCCTGCCTTCAGGAACTTTGAGCCTGGTGAGGTAAGACAGATAAACAGATGTAATCACCTGATAGAGGTACAGTCAGAGAGGGTGCTCAGGGCACTTTGGGAGTAAGAAGAGGGTTATTTCTACTGGAGGTGGGTGTGATGTGTCAGAAAAGAATTCCTCAAGGAGATGACCCTTGTGCTGAGCCCTACAACTGACTATTCCTGGCAGAGAGAATCAGATTTACTGGAGTGTCCATTAATTTGTTCAGGAAGGAAACAGGTGGCCTATGGGAAGGCCTTGCTGCATTAATTTTATTTTGTATTTTATCTATTTGATTAGGTAATACACAAGGTACAACACTCAAGGAGATGAAAAGGGAATACATTCAGTGAACAGTGAGTCTTCTCCCCTCTTCACCCCTAGTTCCCCTCCCTGATAGCAGTTGGTAGCTACCAGTTTCTTGTGCATCAATTCCAGAGAGAGACTTTCAGTGCATACAAGAGTATGTGTATGTATGTGTGTATGCACGCATGTGAGTGTGTGCGTGCATGTGCACACGTGTGTTTCCTTTAAAAACACATGCACACATGCACATGGTTTTCTTCACGTACTAACTTTGGAAGTCATTCCATATTAGTACAGACTGAACTGCTCAGTTCTTTTTAAACCACTGCATGTATTCTGTTATGTAACTTATTTAACTAGTCCCCTCAATCTTGTGCCAGTATAAATAATGCACTGAATATCCTGTATATGTATCATTGCACACAAGTGGTTTCTGAGGACAGATTATAGAAGTAGAATGGATAAGTCAGAGAATATGTGCATTTGGGGGCTAGATACTGTCACGTGGTTCTCCAGAGAGCTCTACTTTAATTGTTTAGTTGCTCAGTCATGTCCAGCTCTTTGCGACCTCATGGACTGTAGCCCACCAGGCTCCTCTGTCCATGGGATTTCCTAGGCAAGAGTCCTGGAGTGGATTGCCATTTCCTCCTCTAGGGATCTTCTCGACCCGGGGATCGAACCCAGGTCTCCCTCTTGGCAGGCAGATTCTTTACCACTGAGCCAGCGGGGAATCCCCTACATTAATTATACAGTGCTACATGTAAGATTCTTTACCACTTGGTAACCCTGCCTCGTACCAAGTTACCCTGCCCCTTGGTAACCAGTCCTCTAAAATCCGTGCGACAGTGATCTTCCTGAAAGAATTTGCTGTTAGAACTTCCCTGTGTACAATTCTTATAAGCTCCCCATGGTCTTCAGTGGTAAAGCTTTTGTTTTTAATCTGTTTTTGTTTATTTGACTGCACTGGGTCCTAGCTGTGGCATGGGGGATCTAGTTCCCTGACCGGGGATGGACCCAAGCCCCTGCATGGAAGCACAGAGTCATAGCCCCTGGACCACCGTCGGTTTTAAATTTAGCCTAGTCCCTGCCTCTGGCATCTCCCGGGAGCGCGGGGTTCCACTGCTCCCAGCCGCTTGTACTCGATGTGTTCCTTCTCCGCTGGACAAGTAGTCTGTCTAGCATCCCCTCTTCTGGGTTGTCTTTCCTGATTCCTTCCACTCATGCACGGAACAGTGAGCACCACCCTGATCTGGCCTCGTCCATTCTCTGCAGAAGTACTTGTGCACGTGGTGTCATTCTCCGTGATCCACTGGTTCTTCCCTTTTGGGATGGTGAGTGCCTGCCAGGTTACCCGCTGTGGCTGCATGTACAGTGGCAGCACCAGGGATCCATTGCTAACTGACTGGCGGCATGGGCATAACCTTTAACTCTCTGAACCTTAGTTTTGACTTCTTTCAGAAGAGGAGATGAAGCCTGATGACCTCTAAGGTCTCCTCTGATGCTCAGATTTTATTAATAATTATGACAGCAACAGGTGCCATCGTTTACAGAGGACTTGCAAAGTGCCAGGCACTGTTTTGAGCACTTTGTCTGATCCTAATCCTTACATCAACCCTATGAAGATGATGGTATGGTTACTGTCTCCATTTTACAGATGAGAAAACTGAGGCTCAGAGAGTAAATTGGCCCCAAGTCATAGCAGAGGAAAGAGATTTGAAATCTGGCATTCTGACTCTACCGTTCTTAGCTACAAACTGTTTTTGTACATTTACACACAGGTGGTTTTGTGTACCCTTTTGGGTCACTAGCAGACTCCATCCCTAGACCTCTCCATAAACCATCCTGTTCTGCAGCTGTGAAGGCCCCAGTTGGAGTCTGGGTAAAAGCTGGGGACAGGGGACTCTACAGTCCCAACCATTTGAGGGTGGTGAATGAAGACCCAGTGGCTAGCTCTCTTCTTGAGCCCCTTGGTCATGCTCATTGAAGACCCTCACAGCTGCTTTTCCTTTAGACTAAGACAGTTCATATTGCTGTCTGCAGTACCTCTCTTTAGAAGGGCTGTGTAGGCCTGAGCCACAGGCTTCATACCTGGATTAAAGTCAGGTCTGGGTGATATCCCTCAGGTACACCCTTTATTAGGGTTGTAGATGGCAGGCTCGCTTATCTGTTGACATAAAGCCTTACTGGAGAAAGAGGTGTGTATGGCATTTAAGAAGGAAGTGTAACCTTACATTTGGAATATCTTTTATAAACTAGGATAAATGATATCAAAAGAGTTAAGTAAAATATAATAGACCTGTATCAAAATGTATGATCAACCCTTCTGCTTTCCTGAAAGCAAGTGGGAAAAAATCCTTAGACGTCTTGACCCCTGATTTTTTTTTTTGCTCTTTCAAAGATACTGGTTCCTATTCTTCTCAAGTCTTTGAGCCAGAGTGGATGGTCGGGCTGGTCAACAGTTACGACTTGTTCTCCCTTCAGTCATTGTCACGTAAAGCCAACAGATGCGGCCTCTGGGGTCGCAGGTGTGTTGGGTGAGCTGTGATTAATTAGTCCATTTTTGAGATTCGTGGTGGGAGCCAGGTCCCCAGGGGCTTCTCCAGCCTCTGGTGGTTGAGCAGGCCGAGCCAGGGGCTCTCGGCGCTGGCTGTGGCATTCCTTCTCTAGGCGGTGCATTTCTCCCTCTTAGACACCTGTTCTCTGTTTGTTTGTTTGTTTTTTTCTGGATAGTTGAACTTGCTCTGAGTCCAGTGGCAAAGGCGGAGGCAAACTCTGGTGCAACACTCTCCACATGAACAACATCTCTTTCCTCCTCTCTGCCGGAGCCCCTAGGGCAGGCAGGCAGCAGGGCAGTTCTTGAAAGCTTTGCCCAGCTTGCCGGATCCCCAGGTGAGCCCGCGCTGGTGTCCTTGTCCTGTCACAAGGATCTGGCTCCCAGGTGGTGAGCACGCCTGTGGCAGCTTACTGTGGGCCTTGGCATTTCCCCGGGGAGGAGTTGAAAAGTCACTTACATGCTTGTCTCTTCTCCTGGCGGTAAGGATTCAGTTGCTAGAATTCTTTTAGCTTTCTGTGTGTGACCATGGCTTCCTTATCATAAAGGAAGGCCTACTGTAACTAACGTATGGCTAAAGCTTTCACTTATGTCCTTTTTTTTTTTTTTTAATAGGTGAATCTACCCGAGGCTGACTTCAGAGTTCTTCCTTCTTGCTTTTACATTTTTCCTTTTAAAAATAACTTGGACGGATAAAAGATGTGCCATGGCAGGATAGCACCAAAGAGCACCTCAGCGTTTGCCGTGGCCTTCACGGGACATGGAGTATTCCTTCCCCTGGTGATTCTTAGCACCCTCCTTGGAGACGGATTTGCCTCAGGTAAGCGCCTGCCTGCTGCCTGTGTGTGCGAAGGAAAAGACTCAGTACCATTGTTTTCCCAAAGACTGGGAGAGGGGATCCTCTGCTTCTGGAGCAGTTAATGGGAGAGGAGAGGGTGGTGGCTTTGGCGCTGGTGCTGCGATACAGCAGGAAGCTAGTCCTGGGGGGCAGGGGGGCTCCAGGGGACCTAGGGAGCCAGCCGGAAGTGGGGGGTGTAGGAGCCTGCCAGGGGTGACTTGACCATCCCCCTCCCCTGCCGTAGTCACGTGCGGGACCGAGGTGTAGGATTCCGAGTGTGATGTGCAGGTAAGGATGCGTGCTTTGGAATCCTCTGCCTGTGTTCAGGGCCCAGTCCTGCTGCTCACTAGTTCTGTGACCCAAAGAGAGTCTCTGCTTCTGTAAGCCTCAGGTCTCTCACCTGTGCTATAATGACAGAGTTGGGTAATTGTGACATAGACCATGTAGTCCCCAGGGCCTAAAATATTTACATTAAGATATTTGGCCCTTTATGGAGGAGGTTTGCCACCTTACCCCCAGCCCAGGACAAGCAGTGCTCACTAAGAATGTGTATGAATGGAGTGGCTATCAGAGTAAGAAAGAAAGAAGGGACTGGGCAGAGCTAGGATGGACCTCAGAGGCTGTGCGCTGGCCCAGGGTCGTGCTCATGGCAGCCGTGGGACCAGAGCCTTGCACAGTGTCTGGTGCACCAGCACGCTCTCCTCTTCCCCCGCTCCTCTGGGGAGGCATCCTGGCGTGTTACATGGCCGTGTGAGGGCAGAGCTTCTGCCTTCGGCCTCTTTAGCTTCATCGGGCCATCCCTGGTACCCCCCACTTTCTTTTATGGGCTTCCCCCCACCCTCCCATTCCCCACCCTATTTTTCAGCTACCCACACCTTCCCAACTTTCCATTCAGGGTCTGAAATCAATTATCAGGGACTGATGTTCCCAGACTGGCTGGATAAAGGGATTATTATTCTCCAGTATGGAAAACATAAGTCTGTAGCGTGGGCTCAGACCGGGATGGGAAAATTGGCTCTGTTGTTTTCTTTCCCTCCCCCATTTTCAAAGAATCCTTCCTCCCCTGCCATCCCACCCCCTCCGCCCAGTCTTTTTATTCCCCATAAAACCTATGTATTGGCGCTGAGCAGGGTGCAGACAGGGGAAGAGGTTTCACCGTTGCTTCACTCTAGTACACCAAGTTTCAATATTTTTTCCTCTCTGGAGTGACTTCTGGTGGAAAGAGGTGCCCACAGCTTGGCCTGAAACCTAGAGCACACCTGTATGGCTGAGCTTGCCATGAGTGGCATGCCAGGCAAGCTTGCCAAGAAACCAAGACTCTCAGATAATCTGAAGTCGAGGAAAGGCAATCAGGTCAGAAAAGGTCTCCTCTTCCTGCATTTCTTACCTTTTCCTGTAGCTGCTCTTAAACACCCATTCCAGAGGCATTATAAATGAGATGCTTGGTACCCAGGGAGCTTTAATAGATATGTTCATGTGTCCTGACACAACATGACTGCAAGAATCTCACTGGACAGAGGTCAACAGGCATCCTCTGGAGGTGATTTGTCTGTGTCGTCTGTGGTTGTAAATACCACGTGCCTGCCTAGTATTGGTCGTAATTGCTCAGGTTTAGAAGAAAAGCATCATGAAGAGGCACTTGAGAGTTCTGGGGTAAAGTTCTGGGTCAAGTGATGTATGTCATGTCCCTAGTTCAGTTTTCTGTCCTGGTTTCTCTTATCTGCAGCCCTTGATTTGGAATTATAATGGAGACAGGGTTACAGAGGATTGGGTTCAGCTTGCCCCTTGGTCATATGTTTAGCAGAGACGGAGAGAGTTACTGAAAGTTCCCTTTTTCGGAGTGGCTAAAGGAAGCATATCTTACTCTTCACACCTGGGCACAGTCTGCAGGGGAAGACCACGTCTAAAAATAAGGCCTGTGCTCATGTTACCCAACTTGCCTGTCTTGGGCTGGAGAGGAATTAGGATCCCTGCTGTGTAGCAGCCTCTCCCAGGTCTCTTTGCTTGTGACTTTTAAGAAACTTGCTGTATGTATGACCTCAGGTAAATCACTTGACCTCTTGGTGTCACCTATAAAACAGAAATACAACACTTGAGGATGTTAGGTGGGTGTTGTGTAGACTAATAAAAATGATTGGAAGGCGTTTGACGTGTAAAGTGCTCTGTGTAATTTTAAATAATAACAACAGCAGATTTGGTATGTAACCTCCTGTTGAGTCACTCTGGGCGGGAGACTTCATGTGGATGATGTCGTCTTCTGTCTTTAAAAAACAAACCTGGAGAGACTTCCCAGGTGGTCTAATGGTCATGCTTCCAGTGCAAGGGGCCTGGGTTTGACCCCTAGTCTGGGAACTAGATCCCACATGCCACAACTAAAGATTCCTCATGCCACAACTAAGACCTGGAGCAGCCAAATAAAGTAAATAAATATTTAAAAAGCAAAACAAAACTGGAGATGTAGAGTCATTTCTTGCGTTGAGGATAAGGGGTTGGTAGGAAGTGTCAAACCTGACCAGTTAAGGAAGGATTGATTACATCCGGAATCCCTTTCGCCTTCCACATTTGCATAGTTGGATGGTCCCAAGCCAGCTGCCTTGCTGACTCATATAAAAAGCCTTTAATTTCCATTCTGTCCCTATTCTGAGCAATTTTATTGAAAAAACTCAGTATTTTATTTGTTTTTGTTTTTGTTTTTTTCCCCTTTAAGATGTTACCATGACACTTAATGGCTGTGTTCAAAAAAGCACCTAAAGTAAGGAAGGCAGAGTGAGAAAGCTGAGTGCTTAGTGTTCGCTGAAGATGGAAAATGCTGAGAGCTTGGCTCTCAGGGGGATGTATGGCTTTGGCCCTTAGCATGACTCTGGCAGAGAGATGTTATTAGCAGGTGGCCCTGGCTCACCTCACTGTCTCTGAAGGGACTTGGAGTCCGAGGTAACATACACTGAGCTGGGAAGAGAGGACAGGTGGGGAAGTGATGTGTATGTATGGAGCATCATTTGTGTGTCAGGCTCTGTGTTACCATGTAAAAGTTCTCAGAATGCCCGTGATCTACGTGGTCCTGTAACGATTTTACAGATGAGAAACCGAGGCCGAGGGAGTTCAGGTAGCTTGCATGGAGGCAGACAGTTGTAGGTGGGGAAGCTGGCTGGGATTTGTACCCAGTCTGCCTGACTCTTGCCCATGCTCTTGCTGAGAACCACACTACCTCTGCCGAGTGGCCGGCTTTTCTGAGACCTGTTTCTTGTACTGCTCTCTGTTGGAACACTCAGATCAGCATCCTTCAGAGGATAATTTTGACAGAGGAAGAGAGACACCGTCTGTTCTCTTTCCTGGATGAAAGAAGCAGGAGTCATCTCTGGGTTACCCTGTCTACCTCTGTGGTTGTTTCTGTTCTTTGCAATGACCCTTGGTTGTTTGGGTCCCAGTTCAGGCACAGGGTTTGCCAGGGCAATTCTATTTTTGGAAAGGAACAGTAGGGACCACAGCAAACTGTTTGCTAAGTGAAGTTCCCAAAACATCCGCAGAGCATCTTCCTGTCAGCTGCCGACCATGCTGAGGACGTGATGTAATCTCTCCATGGTGTAATTACCTGTGACTATAAAAAGACTTGGGGATTGTGGTAGGAGGCTGGATGGGTCATTATAGAGCTGGCTGAACCCTGGCGTCATGAAAAGACATTGAGAAATTGCCCACTGCTTGCTGATTGTTGTGCCATGATTAGAATGCCGCCAGCACACGGTATGAGCTTTGCACTGTAACTTTCAAACAGAAGAAGCCAGAAGTCTACCAGGCTGAGCACCTCAGTGGTTCTCCTCTAGGTTAAAGCCTCATTAAACACAAATTCCACCTACCAAACAAAGGTGCCCCACTACCCTGGTCCTTAATTACAAGCCTACAGGTTATCCTTACCCACCTCTTTCTGTAAAAGAGGGTCACAGGGTGCTAATAAAAAAAAAACAAACCAGGTGGATGCTGAGAGTCTTTAATTGTTCTAGGTAGGTTTGTAGATGCATTCTTTCACCACCTCTCACTGACTGTGAGATTCCTTTCTCCCTCGTCACCCCAGCAGCATGAGCCTACAACGGTGTGAGCAGTCCTCCCATCCCAGGCGGCTGATACCTGTGTAGCCAGCTGCCTGGACTGTGGCCAGATCAGGAGTGACCTTGGCTGCCTGTGTGCAGCTTTGGGGCCTAGAGGAACGGCAGTGTTTAGCGACAGCTCTTCCAGGGTGCGGTGTGACTGAGAGGGGTGCCTGCTGCTGGGCCTCCCTGGCCTGTTTACCCACCTCGCCTTCAGCCAACCTGCAGTTTGAGCTCTCCATGGAGAGGATGAGTACTGCCTCAGTGCCTCACTGCCTGTATCACCTTGGATAATCTTGCTGACCTCATTGTCGGTGTTTCGCTGGAATAGGGAAGACAGTAGGTGATCTTACTTCATACGACTCTTGTGAGGATTAAATAAGATAGTACATACGAAGCACTTAAGGACATTGGCCTACAGAGAAGTAATTGCCAGGTGTGAGGACCAGACTCTAGCCCCAGTTGATACCAGTCTATACTTCTGACACCACAGCTGACTAGCTCCGTTGGAACGTGCTCCTTGTTTCTTCCGTGTATCTTGGATTCTTTCAGATTCAATTCAGTGCATCTTGAGTATATTTAGACACATACGGATGAGTTCTTCCCAGGCCGCATGCCCCTGATTCTCAAATGCCACATGTTGGCATCTCACACATGCAGAAAAGAGCAGCAGTGGCCTTTTGCAGTGCTGGGGCTGAGGGTCAGCCAGGTCATCTCATAGTCAGTCCTTCCCTTCAGTGAGGCTCTTGTTGGCATCTCAGAGCTGGGATTCCCTCAAAGCTGCTGGTTGTTAGGAATGTCCAGAGGTTTTTTGAAACCTTAACAAAATTGATAATGCAGAGGTCTGTTCTTTTTTTTTTTTGGATTGTGCTGGGTCATCACTGTGGTACGTGGGCTTTCTCT